GTTTCCACACCTTTATTATTATGAATAGTGCTGCAATGAATATTGGAGTGCTGATATCTCTTCAAGATTCTGACTTCAGTTCTTTTGGTTACATACCCAGAAGGGGGACTGCTAGGTCATATGGTAGCTCAGTTTTTAATTTTTTGAGTAATCCTGTTTTCTGTAGTGGCTGTGCCATTTTACATTCCCAGCAACAGTGTACACAAGTTCTTATTTCTCCACATCCTTTCCAACATTGTTATCTTTTTTTTATGATGATTGTCATCCTAACAAGTATGAAGTGATATCTCATTGTGGTTTTGATTTGTATTTCTCTGATATTAGTGATGTTGAGTATCTTTTCATATATCTGTTGGCTGTTTGCATCTCTTTGGATAAATGTTTAATCAAGCCCTTTGCCCATTTTCAATAAGTATTTTTGTTTTTTTCCTACTGGTTTATAGGAATTTCAGTTATTTCTTTTCTATTTCTTTATTTCTTGTGTGTTTCTCTCACAAGAACATAAATCTATAAAGGCAGATATCTTTTTGAATTGTCTTCTGTCATGTTTTCATTGTCAAAGTTAGTGCTTTACAAATAATAGATGATCAACATTAGTGGAATATTATGATGTGATAAGAGTAGGCTGAATGCATGTATTAAAGGGAGGTTGAAAAGACCTGTCAGTTGGTAGAATCAATGTAGTTTACATAGTGATTTAAAAACCTGATAGAGAATTTTGTATTTGAGGCAGTAAATTATTAGGTAGTTTGAAGAATCTTGATCAAGAACTAGAGATGAACCTAACTAGTTTTTCCAGGATACTTGTGGTCCTAGTTCCATGCTGGTCACTGTTTCATGCTGGTCACTGCTGTTATCCAAATCCTCATAGTCCTTCATGGGCACCGGATTCTTTAGTTATTGTCCTCAAGGCCATGGTTCTTTGTGTTCAGTCCTTCTCCTACTTATTTCCTAACTCTGTAATACCCCATAAAAATATAATTGGAGCATTAGATAATACCTTCAATCTGCCACAGGGTGGTTACCTTCTAGTGGTTAAGGAGAGAAGTGTTTTTCTTCTTATTTTTTCATTAATCTCCTGTAGCAATAAGAACAATGCAACCAGAAATAACATTTTTATTATTTTGCCATAGAGATTTGTTAACATGTTCAGTTTTAAATGGATAGGATCCAGGGTCATGATAAGTTATATGTTAGCTGACTGAAACTTGAGAATTTGCGGAGAGAGATATTATCTTAAAAAATCACTTACCCCTTGTTGCCATAGAGCAGTGGTCAGCAAACTCATTAGTCAACAGAGCCAAATATCAACAGTACAATGATTGAAATTTCTTTTGAGAGCAAAATTTTTTAAATTTAAACTATATAGGTAGGTACATTGTTATTAACTTAATTAGGGTACTCCTAAGGCTTAGGAAGAGCCACACTCAAGGGGCCAAAGAGCCGCATGTGGCTCGCGAGCCACAGTTTGCCGACCAAGGCAGAGTTGCTGCTCAAGACACTTTAGGTCTTAGAGGCTGAGAAAGGAAAGATCATCCTCATCCCCTGAGTGATACACTCAGAGATGGTTCAAAAGAAGAGATCCCTGGTTCTCAGAGTTAGAGCTCTTAGCTTCACTCAGTCATCTATGTCCTAGCGGTGAAATGTTTTGGCATAGAAGACAGAAGTGTGTTGTGTTTCAACGTGAGCTACTTTAAAAACCTAACCAGCATAGCCTTTTTCTTGAGTCAGAGAGTGGTCAGTCCATTAGACTCTGAATTCCATACTTTAGGTAAATTCTTATTAGTTATTGATTGTGTCCACATTTTTTATAAAATTTTATTTCTGAAATAATATACTTATAACAATAAAGCAAGTAATATAAAAAAACTGTTATCAACAGCAACATCTCCTAATTCAACCTTTTCACCCCTAGTCACATTTCACAGGTAAATCTCTTATTTCTGTCTATTATTAGTTTTCTGAGGTTACTAGCAAACATTCTAGGTGATATGTCAAAACAACTAATTTTTTATTTATCAACTTTAGATATCATGCATTAATTTGCTTATATGCAATCATTTATATTACCCTATTCTTCTCCTTTCAAAGGTTTCTAAACTAAACAAATTTTCTCAATCTCTATTTACTTTTCTATTAAAATGACTCTCCATTTTTTCCATGATATTCTTTCTTCTTTCTAACCACATTTTCTTCTTGCTTTGCATGTTAAATCTTTAGACAACTCCACTTTTATTTTTACACTAGAGGCCCAGTGCACCAATAGGGGCTGATCTGAGGTGGGGTCGACTGGGTGGAGGGGCCAAGGGAGTTTGACGGGGGCTGATAAGGGCCCCAATTGGGCTGGATGCCTGCCAGCAGTGCACATCATAGCAACTGGTCGTTCTGGTCATTCCAGTTGTTCCATTGTTCCAGTCGCTTGGCATATATATATATATATAGCCAAGGAGTAAAAATAACCCAAATGTCCACTAATGAATGGATAAACAAAATGTAATAAATCCAAACAATTAATGTTATATACTGTAATTACAGTGAGTCCTCTGTGCTTTGTTTAAAGACTGACTTTAAAATTGAAAACAAGTAAATGGCATTTATTAGGATTATAAGACAGATTAGAATTAAAGGGTAGGATTACATGTACTTATTTTTTAGTCTCTCTCTCTCTCTCTCTCTCTCTCTCTCTCTCTCTCTCTCTCTCCTTATATCTCTCTATCTCTATTTCCATCTCTTTCTCTCTCATTCTTTTTATTTTTTCCCTGGAGATCTTACTCCCAGTGTTTCCAGTCTCGTGATCCAGTGTGAACAGCTTTTTCCTTATGTTTAATGCATATGATTTATTCTGGAGCTTCCTTTTTTCATCTTGCTTTGTTCAATTTTCTGTTTCTTAGATTCCATGGCATTATTTTGACTTATTTTGCTCAAGATCCAACTTTCAGTTTCATCTTAAGAGTTGATGGCTGATAAACTTTGAAACTTTGAGATAAACTCCCACCCCCTACGTATACCCCTCTACTCCCCCCACATACAATCTATACAGTTAGTTAATAGTTTGGTGTAGAACTCTAGCTTGATTATAATTTCCCCTAATAATTTTGAATATTGCTTTTCTGTTTTCTTGCTTCTAGCATAGTTGAAAAGAAGTCTGACATATGTTTTAATTTGTACTCCTTTGAAAGTTATTTACCTTTTTCTGTCTGAGAAGTTAAGAGAAAGATTTTCTTTAAGCATCTTAGTCTAAAATGTCACACACACACACACACACACACACACACTCGTTCATGTTTTCTACTCTTTTTGCTGGAGGATTACTTGAAAATGTGATCCTCATATGTTTGGTCTCAGGACAGGGAGTGGGGGAAATGGTAGAGGCATTACTTGTAAAAGTAATGTCACTCATTCACTATTTTTAATCTTTCTTTTTGCTTTCACCCTCTTATTTATAGGCTGGAATCCTGGTCATCCAGAATTCTGTGGAGAGCGGTGGCTTCCATTCCTCTGTAGCTTTTTTCATGTTGCAACTTTGCCCATTTCTCCATATAAAACTATATATGCTTTAATTTTCTTGTTTATTATATGGGTTCATTTTTTTAAATCTTTTATGTTTCTACATTTTTATCACAGTGGTATAGTGGAAGAAATAGAAGCAAAAACACATGTTTACTCCAGTCAAAATTTCTACCTTTTTTTTTTTATTCACAGGGGATGTCTCTATTATTATTCAAATTTGTGTGTAAATAAAAGCATAAGTGAATAGGCTACATAATTTCACTGTCCTACTCTAGGTGCCATATCTGAATGTCAAGGGAGAGAACACTAAACTTTTTCCATGGGAAGGAGATTAACTAATAGGCTGAAATCAGTGCTTGGTCCATAACCTGGGGCCACTATTCATTCTGTTTCCCAGGGAAACCTACTTACTCCCTCTTTGCCTCAGTGTTTTTAACCCTAAAATGATTTAATAGTAGTAGTACTTACCTTTGTAGAATTATTATGAAAGTTAAATGAATGAATTACCGATATTGTTTAGAATTGTGCATTGCACGAAATCAGATGCAGGAAGGGATGATTATTGTGACATCTGCATTATTACTGTTCTTGCCACACCTGAGGCTATGCTTTGGTTCAGTCAAAATATCATGGCATTTAAATGAAAATAATTGTTCCTTGGAGGTAAAGACTATATTGTTTTGTTCACAGACATAAATAACCTTATTTTCACTTCTAGGTAGAAATTGATTTGATCTCAACTGTCACTTGATTCTTGTTGAAAAGTATAAAATTTATCCAAAAACTTTAAATTAATAACTTTGTTTTAAGTCATTGCATTACCTTAAATTTTTGTTTAGTGTACTCTGCCTGGAGTCTTAGAAAGAGCACATGTTTTATAGACAGGAAGACAAAATATGTAAATTTAATTAAGAAAGTTAATGTATATGAATCTTATATTGTTTATCGATGAAAAGAGAAGGATAATAGTTTTCTGACAGGTTTGCTATGACAATATAAAATAATGTAATAATAAATGTGTGATTTCCAGTAAAATGCTAGTATCCTGAAGGTCAGGACTGTTTTTTTATCTGTGGGAAATTGCAGAATCTCTATTACTAAGTGAGCACTCAATACGACTTAACAATGTACAGTAATAAAATTTTGGAGAAAGAGGCATAAACTGTGAAAAAAATTAAAAGAGATTACTATAACTGTAAAGAACCCAGTAATGGAAAGTACTAATGGTTAAAAGCTTACACACTTTAAACAGCAAGTTAAAAAACAATCTTTTTTGTACTTGCTTGGGTATTTTGTTTGAGGAGGAAAATTTAAACACTAAAATGTCACTATGATTTGCATTTTTAAAGGTAAAAGTGATTTTACCGCTTCTCTTAGAAAACAGAGATTGAGACTATAATAAAAGAAAACAAAGTATTATAGTTTAATAGCTATTTATTATTAAATAAGATGATTATCTGTTCCATAAAAAAACCTTTTCATTTTTATAGATAAGAAACTATGGTGGGCAGACCACAACTTAGCTCAGCTGGGAACCTGCAGCAAAAGAGACGGAAGGAACCCCACTGTCCTGAGAAATAAGACTTCTGGGGTGGTACATATGAAAGTGTACGATAAAGCGGCACAGCAAGGTACGTCGCACTGAAATGAGCTTGTGCCGCCTTTTGAATATATAATGTTCTCTTTTTTTCATATTATTTTCTCAATTCAACAATTGACGGTTCATATTTTTTCTTCTAACATAAAAAGGGATGAAAGTCAAATTCTCTTTAATACTAGAGAAGAAATTACTTTCATACAAGGTCTATAATGAGCTTTCAAAACATTAGCAGAGCTGCCCAGGGATTCATAATGTCGTCAGGTCTTCGAAGCAGGTCTTACTCGGTTTTTGATTACAAAATAGAAGAATAAGGGGGAAAAAATCCCAGCAAAATAAATGAAATGTGCAATTAAGCCCAGAAACGGAATGAACTAGTCGGCTTCTAATGGACTAGGTTGACATAAGGATTCCATATCCAAAAGCGCAGCATTATTGGCTCTAAACATTTTGCTTTTTTTGTTTTTGCTTGTCTAAATGGTGTGCAGTGAAACGGAGTGAGAGAACTAGCAGATGGTTTACATAGGTGGACTTGTCACATTGCCCAAATGGCCCTTAGTCCAGGGATGCCAGCCAGGCAGCCCCACACCTGCTAGTCCTTTCTTAGTTTTTGCTCCATGATCTGTGATTAGCAGAACTCCCTTCCGAGAAAAAAAATATATAGTCACTGTCACGAGAATCGCTATCTTCATGTATCTTTAGTCCTAGGAAAAAAGTCAAGAAAATGTATTTTGTATCTAAGGTAGGTGGGCATGTAGACCCAAGCAGAGAAGAGGAGAGGGAAGAATAAGGAACCAAGGGGATCATCACTTTAGTACTCGGTTGACAATCACTGAGGAGGCAGGATTTGTTGGAGATACCAATTGAGAGACAGGCCTGCACATCGAGAGACAAATGAAGACCAGATTCATGGTTGCTTTCCCTGGAAAAAGCATGGGCCAAATTTGGGCATGAAATCATTTTTTTTTTTACAGGAACAGCAGGAATCATATGTCTTTTTCATAAACTAAAATAAATGAAACATTTTTAAGAGAAAGCAATTGCTGTAAAAAACCACCTGAAGTGATTACTGTGTTTGTTCTTTTCATGGTTGAGAAGACACCAGCACCCAAACTCATCAGCACAAACCTGTATTTGGTTCTGACATTTATTTTGGCCATTGTCTATAATAATGAGCAGCATTGTTTTCACTAGCAGTTTCATAATGGAACATTTTCTGTATCAAAATAAACAACTTAACTGGCATTCAAGTCGAGGGGAGTAAATTATTAATTGGGGAAAAAACCTCTGGTACTCAATAAAATATCATGACATTTGTGTGGATTTTAATACAATAAATAAGTATAAAACCTTATAGTATCATGATAAACTTCAATTCCTACTTAATACTTGAAGAGATTATATCTGAAAACACACATTAGAAAATATGAGACAGAAAAATATATTTCTAAACAGTTTTTAAAAAATCTATATTCACTTTTTCTAAATGTGAGCAAGTATGTGTTTTGTTTGAATTTGTAAATTAACATATTACATCTAATTTTTCTAGATACAGTTTCAGTAAAGTTTCTAGGAGAAAAATTTTAGTGTAATATTCTTGGCTCATTTTGTTCATGGTAACATGATTTCTCTTGTCTTTTAAGGATTTGATTATATAGATACAGATGGGTATTCTACACCTGTGAGAGTATTACCAAACTGACAAGATCCTCTAGGAATTAGAAATTAATGGTATAATATGAGTAAGCTTAAAGTGCAGGGAAAATAGTATTTTTAAAGAATAATATGCTGATAAAAGCATCTGTATTAAAGATAATCCCATTAACAGAATTACAGCAGGTAGCTTAAAAGCTTCATTAGTATGAAATATGAACAATTTAGGACTCTTTAAGATGTTAACATTACTACCTCTTTGAATTTCAAAATACAGTTAGCTACTTCATTTATCATTTTTGACATAGATCACTGGAGTGCTGAGACTTCTTGGTAGTGAAGTGGAATTTCTAGCTCCCACTAGAGAATTGAGGCATGAGGTTTGAACATCAGCATCATTACAAAATATTAAGCCAAGCTAGTATTTCATACTTGCTAGATAATTATTACCTAAGTTGTCACCTTTAAATATTACTCTAATATTTTTCTGTAACAAATCCATATTTAATCGGCAAAGATACATATTGTTAATAATGACTAATTTCCTTTTCTTTTTTATTTTTCTCTCCTTCACTATCAATTTTCCCTTAGAGACTAAACAAATTATACATGAAGTGTGTATTGTTGTACAATATAGTTGTTCACTTGGATTGATTTTATTATTTATAAAAAATAAATATAATACAATATATATTGCTATTATTCCAACTGTGTTCAAATATGGTGGGTCTCCTGATGAGAAATCTCCCAAATTGAGGGTATTTCATACTTCAAAAATGACAGAACTCATGACAGGTTTGATTGACAATTAAATTCCATCAGACTGTTTTTACTTCAGAAGAGCAGAAATAATGAATTGCATTGGTACTTTGAATTATCTGTAGAGCAATTTTGATATATAGCTTTCATCATGCTTTGTAATTCTCACTGGATTTACTGCACTTCATATCAGAGTTTGAATATCCAGTAAATGACATTGCATGTCTTAGAATAATAAAATTATTGTAAAAATTGAATATTTAATGAACTTACTAGATGAGATTGTAAATTACTTAACTTTACTCTATCAGCTTTAACTAACACACTGAATCTAGTAAATGCAATGGAACATCTTCATAGAATGCCTACCTGTGATTATCTGACTAATATTTGTCTTTGCCACTACATACAAATACAAGAGTTAATATGCCAATTAATTAGATGACTAGTAGAGGGCATGCTTTAAACACATTTGGGGAGAATTATGTTTCTAGGAATGGCAAAATTTATTCTCTTGCTTTCAAAAAATTAATCAAATTTATATATACCTCCTTTCTTTCAATGGCATAATCTTTGAGTTGAGTTAATAATATAATTTAACAGCTATTTATTTGAGACATTTGATTAAAGTATTCTTTTTTTTTGATTAAAGTGTTCTTGAAAAGGAAGTACCTGTAGAATTGTAAATAAAACTTAGAAGTAAAAAAATAAAGATTTCCTGGTTTATGTGATCTTAAAATATTACAAAGGTCTATGACAGTATTCATGACAAATCAATTTTCTTTTGCTGCTCTGTAACTATGAATCTCACATATTTCCCTTTACTTAAAAATTTTTAATGGCTTTATTTTTAAATTTATTTTTATTGACATACAATAGAAGTATAACAGTGTATAAGTTTAAGGTGTACAGTGTGTTAATTGGGTACATTTGTATATTGCAATATGGTTACCACTGTATCTTTAGCTAACACATCTATCATGTCACCTTTTTGTTTATGTGTGTCTATGTGTGTGTGTGTTGGGAACAATGAATATCTGATCTTAGCAACACTGAATTGTATTCCAAGTTAAATTGATACTATAAACTGATTATGTTATTATTGTCTATAATCAGTATGTCATATTCTAAATATCCATTTATCTTTTTGGAGGGGCAGTTTTCAACTGTATCCTGCTCCTTCAAATTATTCAATAGAAAACAACTGCATTTAGAAATCAACAATAGCACAACATTTGTTCAAATTACTGACAGCAAATGATATATTTTTTTAATTTTGTTACTTTCCTTTGTTTCTCATCAATGCAGGCAGCAATTCCTGCCAGCTAAATAATGGTGGATGCTCTCAGCTTTGTTTACCAACCTCTGAAACTACGAGGACTTGCATGTGTACGGTGGGATATTATCTCCAAAAGAACCGCATGTCATGTCAAGGTATAAGGTTTTGAAAAATTTTACTTCTGATTCATTTATTTATCCTTGCAGATATTAGGCAACCAAAATCAGATAAAAAATAGAAAATAATAATATTAGCTTTTTATTAGGACAGTAGTACCCCTAATAAATACCATATGTAGAATTTCAAATATATCTACAATATATTCAGTATCTCTGTTCTTGTGAAACTTTCTAAGTTTTTAGTTATTTTCAGGAACTACAGTTTATTATCACACCTTTAACCAAATCCAGTCAAAGCCACCTGAAACTTGAAAATAGGTAAAAAACAGTGGTTGGTTTGCTACAGTTCCAATCTAATTGGGATGTAGTTTATTTGAAAGTAAAAAAAAAAAAATTTATATTTACTTTCTTTCAACTATTTACAAGAAAGTACCAGAGACCAGAGACCATGTAAATTCTCAGCTTTACTTAACTGTGGGAGAATGCTTCAGAAGAACAGGAAGTGAATAAATATATCTTTCTGCTTTTTATTTCATAGACTCTAGTTCTACTAGTCCCAAAGGGCTTTGGTTCTAGAATAATATTTTTATCCAGTGATTATAACTTAATTTTATTTAAAAAAAATTCAAATTTTTATGAGAAATATGTATGTTAATACCAGCATATATTTCATTTTAAATCACATATTCATATGGCACTCATGTGCAGGCACTGCTCTCATTACCTTAACCCATTAATTCATAGAATCCTCATCATAACTTTGTGAAGTAGGTTTTTTGCTCCCGTTTTTAGAGATGAGGAAACTGAGTCACAGAAAATTCACTAACTTGTCCAAGTCACACAGCTATGCTTTGGTAAAGACTTATTTAAACCTAGGAATTTTTGTTTTAGTAAGAAAATCTGTATACATTAACATTTTCTGGCCTGTTAGAAAAATTCATAAGCTTCATCATGAAGACTTCTGGTAGTCACCTTACATATGTGTGCTCATTTTAGGACATACTTTTGATACTGAAAAAGCAAAATCTTAGCAAAAGTTGAGCACTTGGTGTGCTTCTAGTTTTAAAGAGATTTAAGAAGTCTGTTAGAAAGGTAACTGATGTAGTTATCTACAATCAAAATCTATCATACAGAAGCAAGGAGATGCTCGGGCTTTTGAGAAGAGGGTGAATTTTGGTTGTGAGGCCAGGTATGTTTTCAAGTATTACCTACCTCACTGTTTATGGTTCCCACATCAGCAGCATCTTCCCTACCTTTTAGAAATCCACATTCTCAGGCCCTCGGGCTGGAGTCCGGGGATTGGCTTTAACCATTCCTCCGGGAGATGCTGACGTTTCCTCAAGTTCTAGAACAACTAATCCAACTACCTTTTAACTGGTCAGAAATGTAGCATACAGTGGAAAAAGGGAAGGTGGATTAATACATTATTTTATGAAAGAAGTTTGGATCATTAAAAATAGTGCTAATGGAAGTGCTCTCCTTCCCAGGCACCCCCCCACCTTTCCCCTCCCACCCTTTCTTCCCCCACAGGCACACACACACACCTCCTAACCTCTAAGGGACCCCAGGAGGCTTACAACCAGAGCAGCAATGGACATGGGCAGCTCATCTCAGGCAACCCCCAGACCCTGTCCCCAAGGCCCCCTTTTCTCCGAGTTCTTAGTGAGTCAAAGTAGCCCATCCTAGGCTCATTTCCCCAGCCCCTCCTTGTTTCACTGTCCTCAGCTTTAATAAACATCCTCTAAAATTAAAAGAAAAATAGTGCTAATGAATGGTTTTGATGTTAACTACTCATTTTGGACTTTTTTCTTTTTTTGCTTCCAATTAGGTATAGAGTCATTTCTTATGTACTCCGTCCACGAAGGAATCAGGGGAATACCTCTGGAACCAAGTGACAAAATGGATGCGTTGATGCCTATATCTGGAACCTCTTTTGCTGTGGGAATAGATTTCCATGCAGGTAAATAGCTTTTTATTCATAATTTATATATAATGTTTTCACTTGCTGTATTAAACACGATGGGAATATAACTAGTCCATCTATACTCTGATAATCAAAATGAGGAAAAGGACAGCAAATTAGAGATGCATTTTAAAGCCAAACACAAATTGTTCTAAATATGTTTTGCCTGAAAAAAAGTATAATTCTAAAGTTTAGCATTTGATTTGCAAATGAATTAAAACATTATGATTGGCATTTGGTTGCTTCATTTTTATTTCTCTCTTTGTTTTCCCCAAATAAAACTTTTACTTTTATATAATTATAAAAAAATATATATATAACATTTTTATTTTTTACATACTTAAAACATAATATTATTAAAATATTTTTAGTATGTGATTACCTTATATTATAAAACAGGTGGTAGCAAATGAAATCCAAATAATGAAAACAATTAAAAATCCTAAGACATTTTAAATTACTTTTCAGTATAGTATGTATCATTTTGAAGCCAGATTTTACCTTGCTTTCTTGTTTTAGCAAACAGTAAAAGAAAGCAGATTAGACACTAACATTTTGCTGTGGCTAATAAAAAATTTATGTTTGGGAATTGATGGTAGACACTTTTAAATTTGTTGAAATAAACAAGTGTTTTGATGCTAATTGCTAAATTCAGATATTATATGAATTGGATATGCTTCTCTCATAATATTCAGATTTATTATTCTACAAATGAGAGTTTAAATTTATAAAAACAAATGTCTTCACCTCTCACCCAACAAAATCATATGCTTCCTGAGTTAATGTTTTAGTGTTGAAGAAGTATATGCATGTTCCATATTTTTCTAAAGTCTTAATTATATCTAATATTAAAAACAAATAGTTCTTTGATTTATAATCTTTAAAAAATCCTTAAGCATTAGCATGTGGGTTCCTAGTAGTAAGCTTATTTTTCCCCAGTTCTAATACATTTTGTTTAATCATGTGTTAATGAAATTATTGGCTACAAATTAAATAAATTACTAGGAAACTTCACAAATGGTTCAAAGCTGACTTCTCTTAATTAAATTGCTTTGTACTAAATGTTTGGAATCAAATAGAGGCAAACATTCTACTTCTAAAAAAGGGCTCTCCCCCAAAAGAAATATGGATAGACATAGCTTATTTTATTGAGTAATATGCTATTTTTGCCAAAATCACGGTGTGGTTTTTGATCAAACAAGGCTGTTTAATTAAACCTTATTATTCATGAAAGTCTCACTACCCTGCCATGCATAATCTACTTTGCCTCTTATTTACATGCATTTTATTCTTTAGAATTTTGTTACACAGGATTTAGTAGCACAAAACTGAGAAAATTTGAACTTCTTGAAAAGGTTTATGTTTATATGCATAATTTTTTACTAAATACACATCATCCCTTGTTTTAGCTGGTATCACTTATTTGTTCTTTTAAAGAATCTGTAATTATTTTTGAAAGTATTGGATACATTTCCATGAGGTACAAATATTAAAATAAGGCAATTGGTCTAACTTTCCTGATTAGATCATCAGTAAATTTCTTGTTTCTTAAGGGTAAACTGTTTATTTGTATAGGTTGATCTCACTCTTCAAGATTTTATGTTGACTCTGAATGGTTAGGTTTCATATAATGTGCTATGATACAGGATCATTATATTTGCATTAAATAGTTCTCTCCCTGTTTCTAAATTCCCAATAATTACTAATATCATAATAAATTATTTTAATTTAAGGTAGGTTTTCTTTTTTAAATTTAAATTTACTAGGGTAACATTAGTTAATTACATGATATGTTTCAGGTGTACAATTGTATAATACAACCTCTGTATATTGCGTTGTGTGCTCACCACCAAAAGCCCCGTCTCCTTCTTTCAGCATATATATGGTCCCCTTTATTTTCTTCATCCTCTCATTACCTCCCTTTTCCTCTGGTAAACACCATACTATTTTCTACATCAATGAGTTTGTTAGTTCATTTGTTGCCTTCTGTTTTAAATCCCACATATGAATGAAATCACATGGTTCTTGTCCTTTTCTATTGGACTTATTTAACTTAGCATGATACTCTCAAGATCTATCCATATTTTCACAAATCATAATATTTCATTATTTTTTTATGGCTGAGCAGTATTTCATTGTGTTTATGTACCACATCTTAATTATCCAGTCATCCATGGAAGGACACTCAGGTTGCGTCCATGTCTTGGCTATTGTGAATAATGCTGCATTAAACATAGGGCCATGGTCGGCAAACTCATTAGTCAGCAGAGCCAAATATCAACAGTACAACGATTGAAATTTCTTTTGAGAGCCAAATTTTTTAAACTTAAACTATATAGGTAGGTACATTGTTATTAACTTAATTAGGGTACTCCTAAGGCTTAGGAAGAGCCACACTCAAGGGGCCAAAGAGCTGCATGTGGCTTGCGAGCTGCAGTTTGCCGACCACTGACATAGGGGTACATATATCTTTATGAATAAATGTGTCCAAATGTTTTGGGTAGGTACCAAGAACAGGGATTGCTGGCCTATATGACAGCTCCATTCTTAATTTTTTTTTTTAGGAACCTCTACACTGTTTTCCATAGAAGCTGCACCAATTTAAATTTCCATCAGCAATGTATAAGGATTCCCTTTCCTTCATATACTCTCCAACACTTGTTATTTTTGTCTTATTGATAATAGGTATTCTGATAGGTGTGAGGGTATATCTCTTTGTCATTTTTATTTGCATTTCTCTGATAAGTGAAGCTGAGCATCTTTTCATGTTCCTGTTGGCCATCTGTATGTCTTCCCAATGGATTATTTTTTTTCCCAAAGAAACAGAGAAAATAATCCTCAAATTTGTATGTATAGACAAAGCAATCCTGGGGAAAAAGAACAAAGCTGGAAGTGTTACACTCCCCTTACTTCAAATTATGCTACAAAGTTACAATAATAAAAACAGTAAGATATTGGAAGAAACATAAATGCATAGATCAATGGAACAGAATTGAGAGCTTAGAAATAAACCCATCCTTATATAGGCAACTAATTTTTCACAAAGGAGTAAAAAACATACAATGGAGAAAGGAAAGCCTCTTCAACAAATGGTGTCAATGTAGTTTTTCATCAGAAATATTACCAGTTATTATTTAAGACTTCATGTTCTTCATTTTATGCCCATCATATTTTAAAATTTCATTTCTAGAGAGAAATTATTTTTAAAAAAACTCTGTTCTTCTAAATATAAAATTATATAAGCATATAAAATTAGAATAGTCATATAAAATTAGAATGTTCAAGAAAAAGTAAAATTCCCTAGTGAAATTAACTTAATAATGTTAATGAATAGTCTGTAGAGCAGATATTTAAGGAAGGATTAAGCAAAATTACCAGCTTTTGAAGTCATTAAATGTAAACCTAAGAGGCTAGCAGACAGTGTGCTTAGACAATGAACCAACTAAATCAGCGGTTCTCAACCTGTGGGTCGCGACCCCTTTGGGGGTCGAACGACCCTTTCACAGGGGTCGCCTAAGACCATTGGAAAACACATATATAATTATATATTGTTTTTGTGATTAATAACTATGCTTTAATTATGTTCAATTTGTAACAATGAAATTGGGGGTCACCACAACATGAGGAACTGTATTAAAAGGTCGCAGCATTAGGAAGGTTGAGAACCACTGAACTAAATGATGATGATGATGATGATGGAGATATCAAGAGTTTTCAACAACTTTACATACATTTGTGCTTCCATCTCCCTTACAGTCTAATCCTTTACTAATTGTGTCTCAAGAAAATATATTAGAATCAAAATAAGTATCAGCAACTTGATTTATAATATTATTATAGACCAGTGATGGCGACCCTATGACACGCATGTCAGAGGTGACAAGCGAACTCATTTTTTTGGTTGATTTTTCTTTGTTAAATGGCATTTAAATATATAAAATAAATATCAAAAATATAAATCTTTGTTTTACTATGGTTGCAAATATCAAAAAATTTCTATATGTGACACGGCACCACAGTTAAGTTAGGGTTTTTCAAAATGCTGATACGCCGAGCTCAAAAGGTTCGCCATCACTGTTATAGACAATATACAAGCTCTGCAACTTTGTAGAGTGAAGTTGCTTCAGGGAGGAAGGAAGGAAAATAACTGGATTGCTCCTGAGAGAGATGGAAAAACAAATTTTGGTGTGTAAACCTCAATTTTATTTTATTTTTTTTAACCAGGAGCTTTATGGTTTACCTGATTATATGTTCCCTCTCTATTTTGCAGACATCTTATTTCCTTTTCTTTCTTTAAGGACATTTATCTCAGGGACATAATCTCTACTTATGATTAATCAAATATAATGATGACAAATTGAAAGGGCACAGTTGGCCCTTATTCTAATCATAATGAGGACATGGTGAGAAAGAGGATCACTTATTAAGTATAACTATCATAACTTATGTAATACTGTTTCTTTACCACATTTTCCAAGGAGGGAGAAATATATTGTTAAAACCTGTGCATTTCAGGAGGACAAACAAACCTGAACCTTGCTGGGTTTTGGTCCTAATGAGTTAAAGTATTCTGCAGTAAAAGGATTTCATACACCAGATGAAGCAATTCTAGATACTATCCGCAGCAAAAAGAAGACCCTGTGGCTAGATTTAAAATGTTCAAAGCATTCTGATCACTTCACTGGAAAAGTCCTATTCCACTGAAAAAACAAACTAAGCTTTGAAAATCCTTGCCTGCTTGCTGATAGTCCTCCTGATGAATTATTACTGTGTTTGATACTTTAAACAATATCCTTTCCTGAGGAGCAAAGCCTTAAAACAAAGCCCATTGCTCTGGTTAGTAATGTGATCTTCAGGAAGTAATGCTTTATTCAGTTCTCCCACCCCCACCTTGGGGGTATTTATGACTTTTCATAATAATTATGTAATAGAGGAAATTCCCATTAGATAATGTTATTTATCTAATATTTTCAAGCTTATATCATTTTCCATCTTTT